TGCTGCCAACACCCTTCATGCTTCATGGGACACAAGTCAGGAAGGGCAGCCAGTAAAATCCATGTCCTGTGACATAACATACACTACCAGGTTTTGATCTACAGTCCTGGACAAGCTTATGGTACTCCCATACACACATTTGTGGTCCAGATCAGTTCAGCCCAGCCCCAAACCTAGTCAGAGCAAAGTTGACAAAACTCAGATAAACTTGATCTCGCAGTGGCTGCACGGCCACCTCTATCTCAATTACAGTATTCCTTCTACCCACACTAGTCACGGATGAAATTCAGGCAAAGGAAGATTAGGTGAGAGGTGTACGAAATGTCACCTTCCCCTTAATCACAGCTTATGAATCCAGTCCCAAAGTGTTACTCATACAGCACTCCACACTTATAATCCCACCGACTAATCCAGCTGCATGTTCCAACAGGCACATCGCTAGGAGTGTTCTCTTGCAATCACTGTCTCTGTTTTGAATGCTTCTCCAACTCTGTAAGAAGAAACTACATCCTCTCCCACATCTAAAAGCCCTGTGACAGCTCAAAACAAACTGAGGGGAAGCTGGGGAAAGTGTGGTACAAGGCGGCTCACCTCCTTCAACATGAGCAACTGCACAGCCAGCTGGCTGGTTCTCCACCGCTGCCAGGTAATGCTGGGGAAACACTTCAGTTGTGGTAAGCAACAGATAAGCATCTCTTTGCACACATATACATATAAGCATCCCAGCTGCTAGAATTTAAAACCAGCATTCACTGTGCTCCAGGGAAGAAAACAAATGGGTTGAACTGGCTCAAAGGCACAGCTTCAGTAGCGAGTCTGGATCGTCTCTTCGCATCTCCCTGTACAAACCCAGCCATTGAGAGTCCAGATCTAACAGAGCCGCAGTTGCTAAGAAAACAGAGCTGCAAACAGATGTTAGGAGATGATTCATGGGGTAAGGGCATATCCCTGTACTACAGATAAACCCAGATGAATGGGGCTCTTTATACCTGATCTATCAAGCTGCGCTTCTTCTTGCACTCTTTGGGATTTCTTCTTTCATTCATTTCTGTATTCAGATGGCAAGGCAACCAAACGGAACTGAACTCGCTGTTTATGGAATTAATTACTGGTGAAGGGAGGTTACAAGGCTTACAATGAACTCAGTAAAAGGGCTAAACTATGGCCCTTTTCCCCTCAAACGTAGACTTGTCAACACAGGAAGCAGCTTTACCCAAAACCTACCAAAAGAAGCAACGTAAAATCCCGAGTAAAAAACTGCTTTCACTACTTTCATTGATGACGTAAAACTAGCAGCCGGGGAGATAAAGCATTTTAAGCCTGTTAGATCATTAAGGCACGCCACTTCTTGAATTACTTCATTGTGTCTGTGCTTATAATCGTTGTCTGACAGATAACTAAAACACAGCACACTCCAGGACTAGACAAGCGCTGCTCACACCAACACAGTTCCCACTTACTTCAGTGAATTTTTGATCAGTTCTACTTGGAGAAAAAGTTTCTTTGCCCCTCTTAAGCTGCATAGTTCTCAGTTGATATCCACGGTACTTAAAATATATTTGCTTCCTGAAGTTATCTGTAAATATCTGTTTAAATAAAGGAACTCTGATGTACACTGCTATAGATAATAAAAAGGCACTTATCATTCATTATCCTTCATTCTGAGAATGAGAACAACCACCTGCACTTCTGAATACGTATTTGTACAGCATCTAGCACAAAGGGAACCACACACTACTGCAATATCACTGCAGCACTGGCTGCAATTACCACCAGTGTTTTCATCACCCCTCCAATCCCCCCCTTTGCCACCACCCCTCACTATTTGTAGCTCATCCCCATTCTTCCCAGCAGGTTCCAGGGAATCTGCTCCCACCCTGCACAGCCCTTCCCATCTCACCTGCTCCGTCCTGGAAATCAGTTCTTTGGGCTGCCCTGATTTTAAGGTGAGGTGGCTTTAAGTGTGGTGGAGACCATCACTGTGGGCAGCACTGATAGCTGCCATCGCCCTGCCAAACAGCCGCAGAGGTGGCAGAAGGCCATGACAGCTCACCAGGTGCCAGAGCTTTGTGCCCATTTTCAAATATCATGTTTCAAACAGAGGTGTGAGCAGAGGTTCTGTCACCTCAGTCAAGCCACAACAATGAGCCAAGACTCTGCACGTGGCACTTCTGAGTTCCATGATGGGAGAATGCCCTGAGAGCTGTGATGGACAAAAATGATTGGAAAAAGAGGGGAGAGGACAGGTGGGACACAGGCATCCTGAAAGGTGCACCGATCCAACAAAGGATCGAGAGGCTGCGAGAGCTCTCAAACAAACTCACTGTAGGTTTTTGCCTGAGCACTTGGAGGGACTCAAGGAATGCGCACCTGCTGTACCGCTCAATTCCCGCAGCAGCTCATGTGCAAAAAGAGAAGAAAGACTTAACTTTGAAGGTAACAGAGCTCTGGAATAGGCCGCCTGTAAGGTGCTGAAGTCTCCTTCTCCGGAGATATTCAAGACCCACCCAGACAACTTTTCTGTGCAACCAACTGAATGGAACCCGTGCTAGCAGGAGGTTGGGCTTCAGAGGTCCCTCCGAATCTCTACGATTCCGCGACTCTCATCATTTAGGGGGGACGGAGGAATCCTTCCCTCCAAGCCCTGCACCTGACCCACGCTACGCGCCAAGCGACAGCCCGAGGTCCCCACGCGCCGCAGACCGCGCCGGCACCGCTCAGCACCAGCCGCTGCAGGAGCCGACCGCTCCCGGGGCAGGAAAAGGGAAAGAAGCGGGAAGCGCGGGGAGCCCTCAGCTGTTAGCAGGGCGGGAGCGGCCCCGTAACTGCTAACGGGAAAGTCACCGCTGCTTTTCGCTCCGACGGGAACTTCTCCGGAACAAGTAACCGCGCTGAGTTCTGAACGCGACACCGAAGAGATGAGGACTTTACAACGGACGCTCCGTGCCCCCCACGCGAAGCGGAGCTGCGGGGGAACGAGCGCTGCCCGCCCGCCCGCCGCGCTCCGCTCCCTCTCCCCGCGCCCCCGCCGCCTCCCGCCCAGCGCGGGGTTCGGGCCCGGAGCTGCCCCGGCGGAGCTCCCACGCCCGGTTCCGGCCGCGTCCCGCAGCGAACTCCGCCGGGCGGCCCGCTCGGCCCCAGGGCTTCTCGTCCGTTCCTCCCGGCTACGAGGCGGCGGAGGGAGGGAAGGGAGCGGGGAGCGGGGCCGGGGCGAAAGCGGGCGGCGCCGAAGGTGCAGCCGGCACCGAGGGAACAAAGGCGGCGGGAACAAAGAGCGGCAGGTAGCGCGGCGGAGCGCGGCGGGGCAGGGGGCCGCTCCGTGCACAAAGGCGAGGCCGGGCCGCGCCGAACTTCTGGCCGGGCGGCTCCCGGCGGGGCGCACTCACCGCGGGAGCGGTCCGGACATCGGCGGCGGCGCGGCAACGAGCGCGGGCGGCGGCGGTAGTGAGCGCGGGCGGGAGGAGGGACCAGCACCGGCCGCTCCCCGCCCCGGCCGCTGCGAGCGCGCCCCCCCGCCCGCGGGCGGCGAGGCGGAGCGGCCGCAGCCCTCACCGCACCGCGCGGCCGCGCCCCGCCTCCGCCTCCCGCCGCGGGGCTGCCCACGGCGCCGCCGGGAAACCGCTCCCGGCCGGAACGCCGCGGTCTTCCCTTCAGCGCCGCGCACGGATCCGCGCACGGCCACCTTCGCTCCGCGGGTCCCGAGCAATGGCGGCGGCTGGCGCTGCCTGGGCTGTGCGCGGCGGGTGGATGGGGACCGACCGCGCGGGCACAGCAACTTAAAGGGTTTTCAGAACTTCGGAGGAGGGTGGGCTTCTTTTTTTTCTCTCTCTCTTTCTCTCCTTTTTTTTGTAAGGATAGGAAGAAATGCCTTCTATTTGTTTCATTTGGTACTGGGTAGCTTTTGGCTGTGGACTTTACAAAGTTAGAGGCTACAGGTAATGAGAGTGAGATTTCCGTAGGAAAAGGTAACTTCCCAAAAACCTCTTCCTATTTCTTCTCAGGAGGAGTGGTGATGCGGTGGCACAGCTGCACAGGGTCTCGGGGTCACCGTCCCTGGAGGTGTTCGAGAACCATGGAGATGTGGCACGGAGGGATGTGAGCAGTGGGCATGGTGGAGTTGGACTTGGGGATGGATATTGGTGGCCTTTTCCAGCCTTAATGGTTCCACGATCTGATGAATCTGTGCACAGATTGGCACAGCCAACCTCAGTGGAAACAAACAAGGTCATAGAATTATAGAATCACAGAATGGTTTGGGTTGGAAGGGACCTTTAAGGTCATCCAGTTCCAACCCCTTGCTATAAACAGGGACACCTCCCTCTAGAACAGGTTGCTCACAGCCCCATCCAGCCTGGCTTTGAATGCTTCCAGGGAGGGGGCATCCACTACCTCTGTGCAACCTGTCCCACTATCTCACCACCTTCACAGTAAAAAAATTCTTCCTAATATCTAGTCTAAATCCACTCTCTTCCAGTTTAAAGCCACTGAGGCTAGAAAACCAAATGTTTCACACTTTCATGACTACTTAGGCAGGTGTCTTATGCCCATAGGTGTGTCTAAAGCTCTGACAGATTTGGGCACCTGATTTTCTGTAAAGATTTTTTTTCATCTTTTCCAGTCAATAGTGAGCCCTGTACCTTCCTGCCTGCTATTTTAGCTGGAACCAAGAATGCAGTGTGTTGCAGAAGTGCCAGCCGAAGCTGGTTATAACCTGACTGCTCTGCCTTGGCAAACACCTGCTCTGATTCATGCTGCTGTTGTGCTAAATCAACTGGGGAGTTGTGCTAAATGAGCACTGGGGTTTGTACAATGACAGTGTTGTCTGATACTCCATGGACACAGAAGAAGGCAGAGGGCTGCATTGGATGGGGCAGTGGATGCCCCATCCCTGGAGGCATGCAAGGCCAGGCTGGATGTGGCTCTGGGCAGTCTGGTCTGGTGGTTGGCAACCCTGCACATAGCAGGGGAGTTGAAACTAGATGGTCCACTGTGGTCCTTTTCAACCCAGGCCATTCTATGATTCAGTGATTCAGGGTCTCTGCTGTAGTTTCCTAACTTCTGTGTTATGCTTACAGCTGTGCTTATGCTTGAAGTGAAACAAGCATCCTCAACTTGTTTACTAACCTTGGCTGATATATTTCAGTGTTGAGTTTAAGTGCGGGACAGAAGAAGTTGTAACATCAAATATAAGCTTTGTTACTTGAAGAATTATTCCTAAGCTCTTGCTCACTTGGACTGCAGAAGGAGTCTCATGGAGCCTTTTGTGCTGTGGAGCATTACCACTCCATGCTTTTCCCTCTGACATAACTGTACAGCTCCTCGTTCAGCTTACACAGTGCTGCAGCTCTCTGTCATGCTTTGTCAAATACAAACACACAATGTCTTTTTACACTTAAGTTATTCATTTCATAATTAGCTTATAAAGCACTTTGAAGGCACAACAGAAAGTATTACATTAAGTGTTGCTATTGGGCAGACATAATGCAGACAATTAAATAGTAACACCATTAAAAAGACATTGTGAGACTCGAAGGTAAAATTAAGTCATAAGTGCCTACTTTATATCCAAATGTTACATCTGTTGATTACACAGTACAACCTAAAACTCTGAAAATAAGCTTTAATCTCTTTTTAGACACAGTCCTCCAGTTAGGAACTGCTGCAGACCAGACAGGTGTATGGGAGGCCAGCAAGCAGCTGCTGTGGGTCAGTCTTCATGGAAGATTACAGCTGGAAGCTGTGCAGCCAGGGCTTGACCGTCAATACTGAAGGTGACCACAGAGGGGTGAGAAGTTCTTACAAAGTGTGTGTGTGTGTGTGTTCAGCAGTGTGTCCTGCCTTTCCTACACCACTCCATCCAGCAAACACTGCTGCAAGGTGTGTCCCGTACTGGGCATCCAGGTCCCAGATGAGATAAGGACATCCATGGTAGGACATCCCTCCTGCAATAGAGAATTTGCACAACTGGAATCCAGCACTGGAGAGGGAGCAAATTCCCCACATCTGCTGGATAAAATGTTAACTCTGAAGGATAGTGATGTCTGTGTAAACTGTGTTTGTTTGGATACTCCAAGCCACGTTTACACTCTGGTGTGCCAGAATGAACCTTTGGCCTACTGACCCTCCTCTTTCTCCTGCGTGCAACCCCTTGTGCTGTGTCAGCATACTGTGTATGCTGGAGCTGGGAGTTAGATGACAGCTAGCCCAGAGGAACAGTATTTTGTTTTCAGATGGCTTGCTTTCAGGATTTAGTGGCAGCAAGGATACACAAACAGGTACAGCTGAGGGGCAGCAGAATCCAGCAGAGAGATGGACACAAATGGTATGAGCTGGACCTCATATCAGGATGGTACAGCAAGAGAATAAGGGACCAGCACCATGCCAGAAACTTCCATGACCACACCTGGCTGCACTCCTCTCACCCCATCCCATGCAGAAGAGAGAAATAGGAAAGGGGAGAGGTGAGAGTAGAAACTCATTTTTGGATTCTCCTTCCCTCCTCCCTGCTGCCACAGCAACACAGAGGAAACAAGGTTGTTCTGCATGCATCACTTTGGTTGCCTTACATGCTGTCCATTATGCTGGTGCAGCTCTTTGTGCAGTTGTGTAGTCAATCAGATCCAGAGATGGCTTAAAAAAAAGCAGGACCCTCTTCGTCCCCATTATTTTCACCCTGGCTCAGTGCCCAGGTACGATTTACCCCATCTCTGCAGAGGTGCAGCTGGAGAAAGAGCATTGGAGGGGGAAAGAAGCAAGGGGCATAGGGATCAGCTTAAATACACAGTGCCCCCTCCCCCGCATGGCCCATGGCACAGTCCCTGGAGGAGAGACTCTTGCACAACAACCACAGGCAATGTATTTGTCAGAATTAGGGAGATCAAAAAAGAGGAAATAAAGATTGAATCCATGCAGGCACGTGCAGTATTTGCATACTGTTTTCCTCTGCAAAACATAAAAGGAAGCCTGAATGTAATCACGTTAGGAATGTTCCTTTTCCCCTCCCATTTAATCTAAGCATTATGTATGACATTCTCCTCACAGTATAAGACAGCAATCTTGCAGACCGCTTAGGCAGGGACATTGCCTTTAACACCTAACTTTTCCTGCTGAGGTCAGTGGCAGCCCTTGCATGTTTAAAGTTACACATGCTTAAATACTTTGTTAAGTCACCAGCTAATTTAAGAACAGAGAAGCACAGCTTCAGAAGAGAAAAATAGGTTAATAATGCTAAAGTTGCAGCAAATGTGTAGGAAAACTGGAATAGGTTCATCATTAGTGAATCTATGCTATTTAAAGTAAATTTTTCACCTTTTATTTTGTTCCATTTTTCCCCCAGTTCTGCCTGTGGATTGTTCCTGGCTAAAGAAAAGATTGAAGACACCTACAGACCAGTGCCTGAGCCTTATAGCAGTCCCCACGAGCCTGCACCACACACTTGTATCTTCCTATACAGTCTTGTATGTGAGATGTTTCATATGGGGAAGTGTCTCAAGGTAACCAAGAAGAAATGCTGAGCACAGGTTGGTGTGAACTCCCATGTTTTCCAGATCTGACGTGCCAGAACATATGGGGACACAGCCCAGGCTGAACAGAACTCATGAGTTCCACTTATAACACAGCCCTTGTGCATGAACAAAGGTTTCCAGTTTACATTTTCCCACCTTTGTTAGGCAAGAGGAACAACTTCAGGTTCCACCCAGAAAATGAGAAAGTAACAGCTGAGCACCTCTATCCCTTAGTGCCAGCTAAATGGAGTTTCTCAAATCCTGGGTTTCTGTTGAGGTACCACCAACCTGCCCACATCCTGCTTCAGGTATTAAGTGCCGTTTTGGATCCTGCTCACTGCCTTGCATTCCTCATGATCTGTGTGGGCTTAGCAGACAGTTTTAAAAGCTTGTTAGACTGATCATCAGACCTTGACCTGATCTTATCAGTAAACTCAGGCAAGGTTTTAGACTCAAAATCCCTTTATCTTAAACCCTGAAGTTTATTCACTTTTTCATTAAGTTCGTCTAATGAAAAAAATTGTATCTTTTATCTTTAGCCTGTCACAGCTGCAGCACCTATAATACAGTATATTTGTAAGAGGGCTATAAGCAGCCTGCCATCAAGGCTATGCTGATCCTATCAGCTTTACCCTCACGCCCCAGGGCTGGCTGGTGTCTTGGAGCACCCTACACCCCAGCAGCAGTGTGGTATCTCAGTTTTTGAGAGAAGTTGGGTAAGAGAAACTTGCCAAGAAACGCTGTGTTCAGCTGACCGAAGCAGAAGCTGCAATACTACAGTGCAACACTTGGATACTAGGTCTGGATTCAGGGACATAAAAGAAATGGGTAAGCACTTTCTTTGCAAAATAGCTCCAACAGGAGGTCTGCAAGCTCCAGGTGCTTGTAAAGAAGAACTGGACAGCAGAAGGCACCCAAGGACTGATGCATTTTTTTGTTTAATGGCCTCCTGTCATTCCTGAAACCCTTTCTCTGAGACTCAGGGAATACACACAATAGTTTTGCTTTGGCCAACAACTATTTTACAGTGTTCTGGGCACCAACGTGTACCTCAGTAATTGTAGTATGGCCCTGTTCAGCAACTCCCAGGTAGTTTGATTTGCCTCTGCTTCCACTGCAGCTCCTACAGCTCTGGGGTGGCTGCAGCCCACTTCCCAGTATGAACAAAAAACCCTCAGTAGAAAGATGTGGAGTTAAGACTTCTCTGGCAACAAAATTGAGTAATCCCAATCACCACCTTCAAAAATTTGTGCCCTTGGGCCCTGGCCAGCGATCCACTCTGTCAACATCTTTACTGCCAACTTTACTCACAGGGGCACGAATGTAAATCTAGTATGAGAAAAGGATTAAGCCCATTCTGATTTTTATGGCCTATGAAATGTGTGCTGCCCTGCTGTTGCTACACAATAGTAAATAATACAGAAAAAGGGGATTCAGGCTGGTATTGCATATTTAAAATTTCTAAGGAAAAACATGTAATCCTAGATACTACTAAGCAGTGCAGTGTATGTGCATACAAGGTTTCTTCTAAGTCAGAAGCTAAAAGCCTGTACCTTGCCAGATGCTGGTTGAGGTACATTACTTTTCTCCTGCAAAATAAGATTAGCAACACCAATTTTCCATGTATTCAAGTTTGGGGTTTTCTCTGCAAGGAGATTAAAGCCCAGGCAAACACGAGTCTGCCTGGATACTGCCCTGCTCTATGTACAGCTCTCACTTGGGATGAGACCTGTGCTTTTTAGGAATCCCACTAAAATGAGTATTTCTTCACTGATGAATCACTTGGCTGAGATTTGCAAGAAGGATGGAGGGAATTAGATGCTAGCTTCTTAAATTCAGTAGGGTATGTGCTCCTGAGTCCTTTAGGTTGATGTTTTCATACGTACACAAAGACTAAAGAAGGTTCTTTTACTATAACATCTGTGATTGGATTTCAGGCAATATCTTTTGATTCTAGCTTTCTATAATCTCATAGCAGAACCTCAATGCAAATACTAGTAAGCAATTGTTAGAACTATTAATAGTATAACTCCACAGAGTTGTCAGCAGAAAAGCATCTGAGCTAAGTACTTGTTCAATTAAAGATGCAGAACAATGAGTATATATGCACGTCTGAAAAGCAGACAATATTTACAATGAACCCCATAGCAGAAAATATAAATAATTTATTACCTTTACTTCATTACCTTTATTATTTTCTGATTCATACTGTTTTCTATAAAAAGTCTCATTCAGTAGCACAGGCAGTGCAAAGTTGCCATTGCGTATGTGTAACATTTTCTGTACAACTGTGACTTTTTCTGTCACAGAGGATATGTAGTCATTTGCCAAAGTGGAAATCCATCTTCCTGTTGGATGTTAATTTGCATTCTACCTCTTTGCTTCATTTTTCAGTCCTCTCAGCTCCAATTTTGTGCAGAGCAGACAGAAAATCAGCACGTGGAGCAGTGATCCCCTGTTTTGGTACTTAGTGCTGTTTGGCATCCTGGATATATTTAGTAAACTGTCATCTGTTATAGTTGGGATGGGGCAGCTCTGATGTTTTGATAAGCACTGACTGGGAGCATCACACGGAGTCTTTAAATTGCCCCTTCATTTACACACCATCTATTCTGAAAGCAGCTTTAGAGGCTGTGTCCTCTCCCTTAAGCCCATTGCGAGGTTCCCAGGCTACTGAACCTTCTGCAGCAGTGCAGGAAGCCTCCAGCTCCTGAGTAAATGGTTTTGTATTGATTGGTAAATAGTTTTCCTGAAACCAAATGAAATGTGTGCTAAATAAGAGGCTATTGCATTTTCTGACTGTGTCGGGCTCTCCCTGCAGCATGGCCCAGTCCACCTGCCAGTGTCATCCTCCCAATGACAAACCCAGCTATTTTTGGCTGCTGAGGCCCTATTACCAGGCACGGGGGAATTACTGCACCACCAAAGCTCTGCTTCACAGAGGGCACTGGCCAGTGCTGTGCCAACACCCATCACGTGCCTGTTTTCTCCATCTATTTTTCCATACAGCTTTGGGATCCTTGTGAACTGGTCCCGACAGTTCTCCTCCCACCTCCCAGGTGCAGATCATGTCCCAGCTTTGGTCACTATCTCCCCAGTCTCTGGCCCTTGTTCTGCAGAAATAAGTATTTTTTCTGGATTACAGTTTCTGCAGAATTTCTACTGACATACAGGTCAGCGCAGTGCTTTGTTATTTGTCACGTGTACTGCTGGTGTTGGAAAAAGCAAGCTCAAAAAAGCACATGTTGCAGGCAGGAGGAAAACTTCATGATGATCATAGTTCTGGAATGTATTATTATGAGGGTTTGTAGCGTTGAGTGTGTCATTTGGGGTGCCTGTGCCCATTGCTGCTGGAGGTGGGCAGAGGTGAGACAAGGCCCAGCCTCAGATGATTGAAGCCATGCATGAGCTTTGCTAGGGCTTGGTGGCTGGGGGCAAAATGGTCCCAGTGGATGGCCAGAGCAAGAAGTCAGAGGAGTTCCCAGCAGAGAAGAATCTCATTCAGATGAGAAGGAGCAGCTGAAAAGGGAAGGAAACATAAGCACAAAGAGCAAAGAAATCCTGGCAGGAATATGGCTCTGATAGAGAGGGTGGTTAACACAGAACCTCACTGCTGCTTCTTCCCTAGTGTCTCCAGCCAGGTGGTCTTCACCTCTTCAGCACTGGACTGGCACTTTTGGAATTCAGATATCTCAGCCTAAATGAGCCAATGCATCTGAAAAATGGCCCTGAGGAAGGCACGTGGGTGGTTTTCTGCTGAGTGACCAGATTGAGTGCATGGGACCATGGCTGACAGGTCAGAAGAAGGGGAGCAGGGCTGCAGCTCGTGGCAGCTCTACCCATGCAGGTAAGTATGAGCCACTTCTGTATCTAAGTCAGGCAGCCACAGAGATGGGATCCCATGCTGAACCATCACAGCTGTGCCACATAGAATCATACAATAGCTCAGGTTGGAAAAGACCTTAAAGATCATAAAATCCAACCATCCTATATCAGATCTAGTGATGGGAGGCCCCAGAGTGGGTTAATTATTTCAACCAGCAGACACAACTGAAAACTGCTGTCTGTGGAGGTACTTTTTGGGATGCTTTCTGATCAACCTGATCTGCTTTAATGAACAAATTAATCACATGGTCATGTCATCACAAGGTGTAATGTGCATTGTTTTATGCTATGTCTGAGCACATCTCCTTGCTTGCTTGCTTGCTTGCAGCTCCTTCTTCCCTCCCCATGGCATGTGTGACTGTGCAGAACTAATTGACCACACTCAGGGAGATAAAGCAACCAACAGAGAATAACATCAGTGTCTGGCTTGGCTGGTTTAGCTCCCTGACTCAAAGTGGGAATCAGAACTGGATTCACTAGTGGTTCAGTGAGCTGAGCTGTACCCCAAAGCCATCCCTCCAGTGTAGCCAGGCTCAGGTGGAGCAGAGTGGGACCACAGCAAGACCTGCAGTGCCAGCCAGTGGGAGGACACCAGTGATGATGACCAGATGTGCAATGAACTGGATGTGTCACCTGCCTGGGATAAGAAGCCAGGTCAAGGTTTTACCAAGTGATACAAAAAAGGCTGCAGGCGGACATGCATAAGCACATTGTATTTCTATAAATATTACTTGATGTAAGAAGACATCTCATTGTGAAGCTTGACTCTTGCTTGTCTAAGCGAAGGAACGCTGGATGTGGGACAGCATGTGCTTGTTGAAGCAGTGAGATTGCTCATCTGTGAGTGTCCTTGAGAAAGCCCTGGGTGACATAGAGTTTCTTTTATTCCTCTGCTACCACGGACCAAAACAAATGTAAATACCTCTCCAGTTCAAAGTATTACTTCATGCTGTTTTAATAGCAAAGTTCACTGCATAATTTGGCTCTATGCTCCTTATTCACTTTCAGCGAGTCCAAAAGTGAAGTGGGAAAGGGGTGAAAGGCTAGAAGTACAAAGACAAGTTGCTTACAGCTGATGTTTATTTCATGTCATTAAACCTTCATTTTCAGTGCCACTAATCCTTCATTTTGATGACAACTTCAAAGATCACTTGTAATTATATTTTAATGAAAAAGCTGAATCCAGAGACGTAGATGCAAAAGGGCAATTGCCTACTGTGCATTGTGTTTACAAGGGACAATTAACTATATATTCTGGGGATGGATTGAAAGGATGAATTTTAACAGTGACAGAGTTTAATGATTAGGAAAACCTTGGTTAAAAAAAAAAAAAAAAAAAAACTGGCTGCTATTTTAATTTCCATTTTACAATGGGTCCTTATAGTTATTTCAGTTGTTAAAGAAGGATTGATCTCAGTGACAGCCAGAATTAATGAGGTGTGACTAACCAGGAGGGCACCTGTAACCTTTTCTTGTTCAAAGGAGTCTGTATCTAACATGCATTTATTCAAACTCCTAATTATCTCCTTAATAAAACTATTAGAAGTGATGAATGATTTTTTTTCTTAATATATAAAAAAGAGACTATTTTTCATTTAGGTCAGACTAGATGGAGGTTGGTTTACAATTAAAAATGAGTGATCATTTGCTTTAAAGTGTGTTTTTACTGTGTCTTAAATGTCCTGAATACATATTGGGAAAGAGCTTACACTTTTAAAATATTAAAATTAACTGATTTTTTTAAATAAAAGAACATTTTCTGTGATTGGATTTTTACTTTTTATGGGTTTCAAGATTTTGGAAATGAAAGCTCTTAACCTCATCTTCTTCCTTCCTTCCTTAGGTAAGAGGAAGCAAATGGATTTTTCTTCTGTTTCAATTTCCAATCAGTTTCTTGAGCTGTCCTTGGCCAGGTATTGAACAAACACTGACTGATGGAAATATCCTTTCCATTCCTGCCCAGCACTCTCCTATGGAAGGCAAGATGTCCATCCTCCAGGATGCTCACAGAGCTTCAAACGCTGCCAGGACACAGGCACTGAAGACATCAGGAATATTACGGCTGTGTTAAGGTGGGGCTGCCGTGGCTCGTATAGAAACGAGTGCCTCATTTCCAAAAAAGCAAATGCAATTGAACAAGCGCAAGAATCCTCGTGTCTGTCACAGCTCCTGCGCATTGCAGGAGCAACACTGACATCTAGCGGGGCAGCGTGTTCCGCAAGCTGAAATGGTAGTCAGAATGGTTGGGTTGGAAGGGACCTTAAAGGACATCCAGCCCCACTCCTTGCTGTGGGCTGATTGCCCCCCCAAGCAGCTCAAGCTGCCCATCCATGGCCTTGGGCACCTCCAGGGATGGGGCACCGACAGCTCTGGGAAGCAGTGCCAGAGCCTCACTTTACTCTCTGAGTAAAAAATTTCTTTCTAACGTCTAATCTGAATTTCCTCTCTTATTTTAAAGCCCTTCCACCCTTATCCTATCACTATTAGGCTGTGTGAATCCAGTGATCGCTCTGGGCCAGCAAGTGATGAGCATTCAGGAGCAATTTACTGAAGCAGGAATTACTACCACTGGAACTAGCTGTTGGAAATGCTCCTACCAAAACATCTTGAAGGTGTATTACAATGATTTGTAAATGGTGTGTGACCCCAAGTTTCTCCACTCAGGAAGGGAGGACAGTCTGAAGATCAGCCCTGCTGTGTTTGAAACATCATGGAATCAAAATTTTTTGCTTTAGCCTTAAAACTGACAAGTGAAAGCAACAGAAGAAATTGATTTTTGCCTGGTTTGATCCATTGCATGCTTGCATAAATGCAGAATAACAGCATGCGGCATGCACCATCCCTTTGCAATCACAAAAACATGAAAGACAGGAATTTTTATCAATGCTGCCCTGCGTGCTTTAAAAGGATGATTTGACATGAAGCTGGAGCAAAAGAGAAGTTACAGGGAGAGGCATTTCCCTGGAAACCTGGAAAAGCAATAGCTAGTTTTATAGTCCTGATAAGAACCACGTGGAAGTGAATGGTGAGCTTAGAAACATGTGCAAGACTATGCTGAGAAAGCCCACTGTGATGGCACCAGAACTCACTTGGCTCATGCCATCACGTGTTAAGCCTTTAAACTATATTAACTCCCTACTGGTTTAATTTGCCTCCAAGATCCGAATTCCTTACCAGAAAAATGGAGAGAGAAGCAGCTTCCAGGGCCAGCGCCAGGGGCTCCCCAAGGAAAGGTGAGCATGGGGCAGCAGTGGTGGGGATACCAGTCTCCCACAGGCTGTGCAAAGAACACAGTCCAGCAATACGTGAAAACTCTGGGTTGTTTTTTTTTTTTTTTTTTTTTTGCTCTGAATTTGGTGATATGCAAAAAAGAATGCCTAGTTTTCATTTATTTCAGGAAACTTCTTGAAGAGAAGATTTCTGTGGCTGCAAAGAGTATTTACAAAGCATGAAAATTTTGGACAAAAAATACACATGTACTTCCTATATTCAATCAAGGCCTTCAGTAATGATTTCTGTTACACAAAAAGCTAAAGCATTCCGCAGTTCAGCTTTGCTCATTGAAACCCAACACAAATAGAAAACACGGATTGATCAGGATTACTTTGGTGTTCAGGTTAAATCTCAAGGTAAATACTTACCTCATTTTCTCTGCTCAGGGAGTGTATTAAATAGGCAATAAAACCTCGTGTCTCACAGTACCTTTTTCATTACTGCAGCAAGATCTCAGACCTTAAAAGGTCCTGTGAGACCTTTTGCCTGTGAGAGGCCAGAGGGGCAGGATGTGAGTGCAAAGAAGGATGCTGCACCCTCTTCATCATACACTTTCTTTTGTTTGCCTTTGCAGTCGGATGCTTTGTTAAGGCTTTATAGGGATACTGAGACTCAGAATCATGTCTAAGGGCAGACTGATATTTCACACTTACCATATATGCTTTTGTATGCATTTTCTATGGTCAGAAGCCCAGCAGACATGCACACATTGGCACCATGCTCTGCCAGCACAAGTGTGAAAGCTGGAAGCCCTGCTGCCCTCCTGTGTGTACCAGCTTGTGCCTTACAGGTCCCAGCAGCCTGCAGGCAGCCTTGAGTGTTCAGTCCCACCCCTTTTTTCCACTAATGCTATTGTTCAGCTCACAAATACAGGGCTCCTGTTCCTTCCATGCAGAACAAAGCGCCCGTGCCAATAACTGAGTTCCCTGCCAAGAGTCAGGAGATCTCTCCTCTCCCCTGTTCGAGGTGACCTAGCAGCAGTGCTCTTTTTTGTTTATTTACCATCTATGCCTTATTTTCAACCCCACCGTGTGCCCATAGAACACAATAAGTAGAGAGTCCTCATGTCAGTCAGGGGTTTTGAGGATGAGAACGTCACTTAGTGTGACACCTGTGGGCTATCTACATCCTATGAGCTTTCCTTCATGACTCTGGTGCCCATGTGGGTGAGACTTGCTAGTAAGTGCCACATTCTGGGGAAGGGCATAAAGCTGTCGTGCTCCCAGTGCCAGAGGTGTTGTGACAGGCATAGGAATACATGAGAGCTTTGCCCTACGCTCCTTCCTGCATTGACATTTTGCAGGTAGGTGATGGCAAGTTTTGCTGAATCCCCACGGCTGGATGCACATGGCACTGAAGGTGGCCTTCAGGGAGGTGTGTTTGCTTGCATGAGTTCATGGCTTAGCAGATGTACAACCCAGCTGCAGCTCAGTATGGTGTTCCCCTTCTCCCTACCTCCAGGCTGGATGTGGATCTGGGCAGCCTGGTCTGGTGGTTGGCAACCCTGCACATAGCAGGGGAGTTGAAACTAGATGATCATTGTGGTCCTTTTTAACTCAGGCCATTCTGTGATTCAATGATTCAATGATTCAGTGATTCAATGATACAATGATTCTGTGATTCTGTGATTCTGTGATTCTATGATTCTACCTCTGCCCCACTAAATTCCCAGCAGAGGCTGAGGTATCCTGCAAGGTCTTTCTCTGTTACTCGGGTATTTGCATACATGTATGAGCTAATCCCTCCATGTTTGCAAAACTCCTTGATCTGTGTGTTCACCCACAATTTATGAGTAAATGTAAATGAGTAAATGCAAATGAGAACACAATACAGTTTGCACACATATCTGCAAAGACCTTGACGTTGTGAAAAGCAAGCCTCTGGCATATGTGTTATAACTTCACGTTGTAAAGATTATATTCCATTTAGATGAGAACATGCCACCTATTCTATTACTCTGTACAATGGCTTGAGTTTAATCACTGATATGCTGAGAGGAGCTATGCCTTCACTCCAGCCCTTGAAGTGACTCTGCTGCTTGTAAAGATGTGAATAGTCCCAAAGAAGTGGAACCATGGTGATCATTTGCTGTCCCCTCTCATCCTTTCTAAAGACACAGACTTTCTTACATTTTTGTGAACCTGCCTCACTCCACTGCCATTTGCTATGAGGGGAAATTTGGCTTGTTTCCCGAATCTAATGGCTTTCTTCATTCTTTTTAAGAGACGCAGAAGTTCTCAAAAAAGTGACTGGTGGTATCCAGAGCTGGGTTACAGCTTTGAGCCAGCGCTCTTCCTGAGCTCTGCCACTGATTTATTGTGCTTCAAAGCCATGGCATGATGAGGATTGAAATCAATCATACAGATGACGCAGGGACTTTGCTCCCCAGGCTCTGGACAGCTGGGCCTACAGCAACTTCTGCATTTATTTAAACAGGTGGCAAGCAAAGTAAGACGAACTCATTCCACACTCTTAATTTTCTGAAATAGATCTAAACAATTTTACTGTTTACATAGCATACGTATAACAGTCAGTGAAGCAAAACAAAATTCTGTTCTTCGGACAAATTATTTAATGCATTTGTAAGTTTCCTATTTGTAGGAAATCATAGGCATTCCTGAGTCCTGTAAGTAACAGCGAATGGCCCTTATTGCAATCTACAAGACAGTTGCCCTGTATGAGACCCAACTGGGGCCTGCAGCTCAGATGCACACCTTCCTGCTTGGCACCACATTCCCACATCATCAGATTTGGATTTCCTGCCTGGGATTCTACATCACCTTCTTTAAAGTCACTGCATGCATACTGTATCTGCTCTCATGTGTGACCAGCAAACTGCAGGAAAGTGGAGAAGGAAACCGAGACATCATTCAGCTCATGAACTCTTCAACTCTCCATTGCCATTTCCATTGTCTTACTGTGCTGTAGATACCTTTTTAACTACAGAATTTGACTCTTGTACAAACACTGAAAATATCTGGCCACTGAGAGAACCTTTTCCAGCTGTATCTTTTTCCACTCAATGTCTTTTCTAAAAGAAAAGCATGGAGGAGCTCGTTGGTGAGGGTCAGTGAGCTCATAACAATACTGGGGGAAGGTTAAGATCACAAATACATACTTGTATGAAAAAGACAAAGCAAAAAGAAAGATCCATGAATTTTCTGTAAGTTTGCTCATGTCGAGTAGCAAGTATTTTAATGACAGACAACACAGATGAGTTATCCAGAGAGAGAGACTGAGAGATATCGTAATCTGGGGGGATGAATTCAGCATTTGCATTGCTCTTTCACTTCAGTCATTTCTTTCCTTTCACATCTTGGACTCACTTTCTATTATCAAAATGGCCATGTATTCGCAGAAGGGAAACATGCATCTCCTGACAATTACAATTACATTTCAGTGGCATGAAAACCTGCACCAATAACTCTGTGGGACAAAACACAGCAACACACATGGGATTCACATGCAGACTTCTGCTAAGCCTGCACCCGTCAGGTACAACTTCAAAGAGGAAAGACAGCTGCTGCTAAAAAGGCTGGAACACTTCTGCTTTAGAAAGTGGCAAAGAGCAGAGCTTGGACCTGATTACTTGTCTGCTAGATGGTCCTCACCACCAGAGAATCAGCAGAGATCATCTCAGCCTGGTAAGAGACCAAGAAAATCAAGCTCAGACCTCTCTTTGCCTTGCAGCATTGCTTGCTCTAAGTTGCCACATACTGATTTGCAGCACTTGGATCCAAGGCTCTGCCCTGAGCCATCTTTTTACATCATATAGTTTTAGACATGCAGAGGCCCCAGACCAGCAGCAGATTTCTGAGGGAAGAAAAGGGTAAAGATAAATTAGATACAAAATATAAATTAAGCACAAAAAAACCCAACCACCTAACCAGAAGACCTCAGCAGTTTTAATTCGTTGTTTTTGGGTATTTTTTCCACCCATGTGCCCTTGCTCTGCTCCCTGTAACTCCAGCACCTGCCCAGAGTGGAGGTAAAGCCTGCCTGTGTTGTGCTGGCAGCACTGGCTCTGGTGGGAGCTGCACTGTGTGCTTTCATGGGTGAGAAGCACAGGCTGGTTGGTGAGGCTCAGGGCAACCTCTGATCTCTTGGCTGTCCCTCGATTTGTATTATCTCTGCAAACATGCCCTTCCCTTAATCTCTGTATAATCTTTTCCCAGACAGAGTAATTAAAAAGCCATTCCATATCTTTTCGTGTCTTCTTTTAGCTGAACATTTTGCAGCTGCCCACCCTTTAGCTCACAGTCTGCAAATTCTGTCCTCTGGTTTTTGTTTTTTAAAGCAAACTTTGCACTCCTCTGCCAGCCAGGCTCTTTATACCAACCCTTTCTCAGGTGAAATGCCATGGAGCTCTATTCAGATGCCTGAAGCCTCTTTTTGAAGCAAGCTGTGATCCAGCTCTGCTTGTTTCTTAAACACTTTCCTTCATGAATTTCTGCCATCTTTTCTGTGCTGGTCATACCCACAGCTCAGAACAGACAGCACAGGGGAAGCAAGTCTCCACACCAGGGCCTGCTCCTGCCCTGCAGCAAGCCTGGGTGTGCAGAGGGGTGGTACAAGGACAGCTCTCTCAGAAGCATGCCTTTCTCACAAGGATGGGTACCTGTCCCATATGGACACCTCTCCCAGCCCAGCCAGGGCCACCTCCTGACCCCAGGGCCTGCCCTAGGAGGTGATCACTACAGATGCTGTGGCCCTTGGCCATGCGAAGTTTGTATTTGCTGTCAGTAGGTCAGTATCTGTTAGCAGGGATTTCTCCTGAAACCTTCCCTGCTATTATCTCCACGAGGATCCTCTGCTTTGTTTTTGTACTTCTTTGAAGCAGTTAGATGCAAAATACACACATTTTAATTGTCAGCAGGGATATATCAATGGTTTCAATGAAATGTCTTTGTAGAGGGGTGAGAAAGTTTCTGGGTCTGAAAGGCAACATGGAAATTATTCAGAAGTGCACCTGAGGTATTGAGGAACACAGCTCTTCTGGCACTTCTCATCAGTTGATCTACAAAGGATCAACTTCTATGTGTTATTCGTATAGAAGCACAGAGAGAAGAAATACCTTTATAAGGTTTTCACCTCCTGGTAACAGCATAATGCCTTTCAGAGGTGTTAAGAACTGGCTCCTCTGAGCTTTATTTGGAACTAGGAGAGCCCTGGAGGCCCATTAAGCAATTCTAAACCTGCACCTAAATAATTTCTCTTACATCTCAATCTTTTTATTGTTCTTGCCTTCACCATCTCTGCAGAAAGTATTTCAACACTAAGAAAGCAAGTGTTCATTCTTTTTTTCCCCAGGGCCACCCACATACAAGCTTCCTCCATCTCTGCATGAAAAGAGCATTGATATTAGCAACTGTATGTGGCCAAAAATGCAGCTGAAACCAGAAGGCAGTAAGTAATTATTTGTACAAGCATTTTAAATTTATGTTTTTAAACCATTTAAGTCAAAAGCTGTGTCATATCAGATTTGTTGAAGACATGGCCCAGGTTCAGGGATACAGCTAATAAAACTTGGCCAGGCTTATAGAGAACATGATCTGAGGTTTGGATTTGTGATTTATTCCAATTTCCCATGTTTCTGCAAATGTTTGGAATGCTCTGACAAAAATAACTGTGTTTTAGTTCAGGGACTGATCTACTTGTGTTCTTGGGGTGCTGTGGGACTGCACCCCAGCAAATACTGAGCTCATGCTAAGAAAGTCTGACATCCTGCAGTGTGGTTTTTCCAAGCACTGTTAGAAAAAATCGAAATAGCTTGTTAAGTTATAGAAAAAATACAGCATTTTCATAAAAAAAACCTCTCAGGCAGTTGTTACCTAGCTAAACACTACGGTCAGCCACTTGAGCAAAGCACAGTGTGCCAAGATTTTGCTGCACGTGGTGTACAATAGCAGCATGATGAACAGCCCCTTGCACCACTCAGATTCCATTTCTTTCTCAGTATAAAAGTCCTGGTTCTGCTCTAGTGAGTGTTTTGAGGAAGGGCAATGATTTTGCTGAGCTAAGAAGGTGTTCTTATTAAATCTGCACTTGTATGAGGGCTGCTAGTCATTGCTACTGAGTTTGTCTTGCTCTCTCCGTTTTTCTTTGGATACAACACAGAGCAAGCTGGCATTACCATAGAACTCAAAGCCTGTGGACTCAGAGACTGCAAATTTCTCTAGGACAGAAGGGTCAGCTCTATTTTCATATGGATAACTTGCAGAAATCTGTGATTTTATCTACAGACTTAATCATTTTAGCTAGGATTTGGTTGTGTAAATGACCCTGGGTAATTATTCTCACGCTCATCCAAGGACATATGGTATGTTCACAAGCAACTGGGTCAGTGTGCATCTGCAGTGTCTTAACAAAGTCCAGGCTCACTAGAAAAAATTAGAGCTCTGTCCTAGGTAGGATCTAGGTAGGTTCCCAGCAAACAAAAGCAGGTGAGAAAGCAGAAAGAGTTAATGGTAAGAAAGCATACTAAAAGAGGTGTGCATGC